GCTCTGAAATTCATGCCTTAAAACCACAGGTAATTAGCTTTTAAGCCATCAACTTGTCTCCATTCTTTAAATTAATCATCTTTTAATCACAATCTTTTTTATTTTTGCAGTCAAATCCACTTCCATAGTGCCTTCTCCTACTATTGAAATCCCCATTAGAGGCAAAAACAAAAGCAAAGCACCATTGGATCCAAATGTCCAAGAAAAAGCTCCTTCATCTATGCCCAAGCTTATGGGAGACTCCATTTCAGCTCTTCAAACACAAGAGCAAAGGAAAACTAGGGACACTTAACCACTCTCAAGAGAAACAAAAATCAAACAAAAGGTAAGAGCCCCTGCTACAACTCTGTCCTAAGAAGGTGTTAACCCTACTGTTAGTGAGTGGGACATTCCTCTTAGCCAAATGCTTGGACAAATAGAACAAAATCCTCCAGACCAAGCACATTAAGTATAATTCCTCATTTTTATGCTCATATATCTTTTAAAATCAACCCATAACTCGTTTCAAGTCTTATTTTCTACAGAGTAAATGAGAAGAATTCTCATCTCAATATGAAGAAAGCCCCATTGCATCTCCTAAAGAAGCTTCTCAAACTTAACCGCATTCCTTTGAGAAAGAGCAAAGTACTCGAGTCCCAAACCAACCTACTCCATACATCAGTTTTGATCCACCCCCTATCAACCTTAGGGACGTGACTCTTGGAGCCTTTCCAATGAAGGTTCTTTATCTAGGGGCAACTGAACCTATCAATTTTCCATCAGTCATCCCCTCAAGCCATGTGTCAGAGTCTACTAGCTCCCCAATTGAGCCCTTTGAAATGGAGACTCCTAGCAGTCCTCATCCATCATTCAATGAACAATCCATTGGACTTACTCAACCTAAACTCCAAGTCATTCATGATGAGTATACTTCCAAACTTTTCCTTATTATTTCCCACCCTCTTTCAATTACCCTTACTGACTTCTTATTCTTATCACAGGAACATAAAAACCAATTGAAGCAATTTCACCCACTGATCTGAATTTCACAAGTGGAGATAACACAAGAGTTGAACCTGATGACATCCAAACTCTTGAGGTTGCAAACATGGAGGAAACTCCATCAATGAGTGGAAATGCTAAAAGTCCTGTTCCCCTAGCAACAAATGAGCCCTTTGTTGGTACTTCAAATCACACTTCAACTAACATTGAACAACCTCAAATCTTCCTAGTCGAAAATACTATAATTGGAGAAACACCAACTCTAATTACCAACTCAATTAGTCTAACCTCCATTGATGTGCACGTTATAACTCTTCTTCTTACTTCTCTTTAGTTAAGACTCATCAATTCTTATTTACCCCGGACTATCGATTGGTTTTGACTTCAACTGAAACAACTTTGAGCATCTAGGATTGGATTGCAGCTTTTTAGAAAGCCTTGAGCACATATCCCTACTCCTACAAAGGCTTCATCATTAAACAAATCAAAATAGTCCCCCAAACAACAAAACAGTGCTGGAAATTAGTTTGAAAAGATTAAAAAAGTGAGCAAAAATGAGAGATAATCAAAACTTGTAAGCATGCCTAAGGTGGGTGGCTAACCCCTTCACTTTTTGGACTTTAAAACCACATCTTTTAGCCTCTTAAAACTCTGAAAATTAGTGGCCAAAAGTTGAGAAACAAGTGGGAAACACAAGGATAAAAGTTTATGGAATAAGGTTCAAAGAAGGGTGGTTAACCCCTCCATCTTCGGTAGCTTTAAATCACAAGTTTTAGTCCACTAAAATAGTCTAAGAATAGTATTATAGTGATCCTAGTTTTGACCCGACACTTGTGGTAGTCCGGACTCTGGTTTATGGTTTCTAAATGTTGTTCATTGTCTTTTCCTCTATATTGCTCCTTAAATTTGGTTTTTTGGGCATGTTGAGTGTGTTTGGAACAAATTGGTTGCTTGGTTTTCAAACCTTGTGTTGCTTAGAATTTTGGTTCTCTGCTCGAGAGGCCTTTCTTGCGCTCGAGCTGGATCTGTAAACTCTTAATACTTTGCACGTCTGCAAAAGTACTGGAGGGGTGTTTTCCACGCTTGAGCGGTGTTTCCTACGCTCGAGCAGGTTAGCGCTCGAGCGGACTTTCTTACGCTCGAGCGGTTTGTTTGTTGTCTGCAAAAGTACTGAATGTATGTATTCTATACTCGAACGGGCCACTTTTGCGCTCGAGCGAAACAAATTTTTGTGTTTGACGCTTGAGCGTCAAATTTTTCCCTCGAGCAAACTGTGTGTATATCAGATTACAAAAATGACATTTTATATCACTTTTTCATTCTTCTCTTTCTCTAAAACTTTCCAAAAACCTAGATCTTGACTCTCTCTCTCTAAAACATCCTTTCTCTCTCTACATTTTGACGTAGATCCATTGGGTTCTCTACCCTAGTGTCTTTGAGAAAAAGTTAGAGCATTCCAAGAGCTTCATTTTGATCCGATTGGAACTTGGTTTCGGCGTTGTTGAGGGTTCCACTTTGCTTTGCTTGGTCTTCTCTTCTTGATGCAGGGATTTTTCTACGCTTCAATATGGTTTTTGACTTGGTTATGTGTTATTGTGTAACAATGGTGGGATTTGGGGATAATATGAACAAACCTAAGGTTTGGGTGTAAAATGAAAAGGGGGGTTTTTGGTGAATGAGAGGAAAATGATTGTGGGGTTTGATAATGATGTTGTATGGTGTCAAAATTGTTGATTTTGGTACATGGTTAAAACTTGGGAAAAGAAGGGAGTTTGCTGTAAAATGGTTATGATATTTATTTTGTATAAATAAATGAAATTGGTGCTGTAAATATGAAATTAGACGAGTATTGAAATACATGGCGGGATTGAGTAGATGATGTATCTCATCTTTGGAAATTTTGAATAAATTATTTGTCTTGAGATTGAATATCTATTTAGAAATATCTGTATTGGGCTATCGGTGGAGGATAGGTATGATTGTTGTAGAAATTGCATGAGGATTAGGTGAATTAAAACTAATCCATGGTTGGTTATCGTTGAATATGATCATTTCGTAAATATATTGTATATGTATGATTGTTTGGGAGGAGAAATGGGATGTACTCCATTGTTTGGGAGGAGAAAGAGACTGGACTCCATTATAATTAGTTGGCTGGAGTGTCCTGGGTGAAAGTCTCGAAATTTATACATGGGTGCCGATCTCGCGGATGAAATTTTTGTAAAATGGCAAATTGAAGTGTTTGTGTGTTAATGGTGTGATTGTAAAACCATTGAGTTGTAGACTCATTTGGGTCAGTGAAAAATAATGAAATTGCCTCATGTATTGAAATGAATTGAAGGGGGAAAAAATGAAATATACACTTGGTATTCTATGACTACGTGAAAATATGAATGTTTTATACCTGGCATTGTATATGCAAATTGCACTTATATATTTGTTAAATCTCATATATTGTGTTAGATTGTTCATACTGGGCTGTGGCTCACCCTATTTGGAAAAACAATTTTCAGGTTCTGGTGACATGCCTCCACCGAGGCATTAGCATTGTAGGGACTCTCGAGAAGCAAGAGCTTCTTTGTTCTGTTTCACCTTTTGTATAGCCTAGGGCTTTAATTGTATGAGCTATTCTCACTTTTGTTGTAACCAGGCCAAAGCTTGGAAAGGTGTAAGCCTGAAGGGCATTTATTTATGCTAAACTCTTTTGTACTATCAATATCATGAGATGAAAGAACTTTACACTCTGATTCATGCCGTTATTCTTATATATTTGGGTTGAACTTATGGTTATATTTTGGTTGGCGTAACAAGTATGAAAACAGTAAGAAAAGAGAAGGAAGTAGTTTAAGGATGGCCAAAGTTATACCTCTTGAAAAGGAGTTACTCTTTTGTTCACAAATCACAAGATATCCACTCTCAAGGACTAAGATTTTTGCTCAAGAATCTCAGCAAGGAGCCTCAAATTTTTGGTTTAGGAAGTGTATGTATAGTGTATGCGTATTGCAAGATAGAGAGGGAGAGTGTTTGGCAAGTTTTTGTCTCTTGACAAATTTTTCTAATCCAAAACCATAAGGGATGGTCAAGTATATATGGAAAAATAGGTTCCTATGTTAGAAATATCTGTATTGAGCCAGCTAGTGCAGTACATGCACATGGGGAACAACAAAAATCTGCCAGCCTAGAAACCTAGCCGATCGGCCATGCAAAGGAACGGCCGACCACTAAGTTTTGGCCGGCCGGCCACCTGTTGGTCACCAAGCCTCTTAATGGCCAAGTTAGAAAAAAAAAAAAGAAAAAAAAATTGGTTTTGGTTCCAAGGGGGTGCAAGGTTCTAAGCTCTGAAGCTCAAAACTTATGCTTCTTGCTGAAGAAATCGATCGTTTGCACAACATAGTATTTCATCATCGAGTGTTCGCCCTAAGACCTCCAAGTCTTAAGGGTAGTCAAAAATGGGGTGTCTACACTCCCAAGCTAAACACCATGACCCTAAACCACCAATCCTATGCAGAATGCTTTTTAAGCTTTGTTAACAAACCCGACTTTGGTTTTTCTCACTTCCTTACTTCATTCTTCATTTTTCCATAGGTAGAAACCCCCTTCTCATTAGGCCATTCCATGACTGTTGATACTCCCCCTCCTAACTAGAACACCTCTCCATAGATCCTTTCAACTTGAAACATGACCAAATAAGATCCCAAGTTGAGACATGGAAGATTGTTCTCATTTGTAGATACATTTTAGTTAGATGCTCTATCTCCTCTACCAAAATGTATAGCTGCAACTTTGAATGCTATTCCCTAACCAGTGGGCAAGACAATTTGGGCTTACTGAATGCACACCTTACCCCATACTTCCATACTTCCATCCATGAAGAAGTAGAGAAGAGAACTAGTATCAAAGACTCCTCCCAAGCACAACTAATCAAAACAAAGAAGGAGACTCTTCTCTAGAACTTCAGCATTTACTTCTTTAATCTTGTTTTTGATCTCACCAATGGCTTTGAACATTGGTGGAGTCTCATGGCTGCAGTGATCTTCTACAAACCTCTTGATGTTTGTATCATGGAAGTCTATATTGACAATCAAGGCTCTGAAATTCATGCCTTAAAACCACAGGTAATTAGCTTTTAAGCCATCAACTTGTCTCCATTCTTTAAATTAATCATCTTTTAATCACAATCTTTTTTATTTTTGCAGTCAAATCCACTTCCATAGTGCCTTCTCCTACTATTGAAATCCCCATTAGAGGCAAAAACAAAAGCAAAGCACCATTGGATCCAAATGTCCAAGAAAAAGCTCCTTCATCTATGCCCAAGCTTATGGGAGACTCCATTTCAGCTCTTCAAACACAAGAGCAAAGGAAAACTAGGGACACTTAACCACTCTCAAGAGAAACAAAAATCAAACAAAAGGTAAGAGCCCCTGCTACAACTCTGTCCTAAGAAGGTGTTAACCCTACTGTTAGTGAGTGGGACATTCCTCTTAGCCAAATGCTTGGACAAATAGAACAAAATCCTCCAGACCAAGCACATTAGGTATAATTCCTCATTTTTATGTTGATATATCTTTTAAAATCAACCCATAACTCGTTTCAAGTCTTATTTTCTACAGAGGAAATGAGAAGAATTCTCATCTCAATATGAAGAAAGCCCCATTGCATCTCCTAAAGAAGCTTCTCAAACTTAACCGCATTCCTTTGAGAAAGAGCCAAGTACTCCAGTCCCAAACCAACCTACTCCATACATCAGTTTTGATCCACCCCCTATCAACCTTAGGGACGTGACTCTTGGAGCCTTTCCAATGAAGGTTCTTTATCTAGGGGCAACTGAACCTATCAATTTTCCATCAGTCATCCCCTCAAGCCATGTGTCAGAGTCTACTAGCTCCCCAATTGAGCCCTTTGAAATGGAGACTCCTAGCAGTCCTCATCCATCATTCAATGAACAATCCATTGGACTTACTCAACCTAAACTCCAAGTCATTCATGATGAGTATACTTCCAAACTTTTCCTTATTATTTCCCACCCTCTTTCAATTACCCTTACTGACTTCTTATTCTTATCACAGGAACATAAAAACCAATTGAAGCAATTTCACCCACTGATCTGAATTTCACAAGTGGAGATAACACAAGAGTTGAACCTGATGACATCCAAACTCTTGAGGTTGCAAACATGGAGGAAACTCCATCAATGAGTGGAAATGCTAAAAGTACTGTTCCCCTAGCAACAAATGAGCCCTTTGTTGGTACTTCAAATCACACTTCAACTAACATTGAACAACCTCAAATCTTCCTAGTCGAAAATACTATAATTGGAGAAACACCAACTCTAATTACCAACTCAATTAGTCTAACCTCCATTGATGTGCACGTTATAACTCTTCTTCTTACTTCTCTTTAGTTAAGACTCATCAATTCTTATTTACCCCGGACTATCGATTGGTTTTGACTTCAACTGAAACAACTTTGAGCATCTAGGATTGGATTGCAGCTTTTTAGAAAGCCTTGAGCACATATCCCTACTCCTACAAAGGCTTCATCATTTCAATTATGAGGATCAACAAATCTTAACTTCCTTTCTAAGTTGTATCAATATTCCATTTGAGGAAATAACTTCAAAGCAACTGTAGACACTCCATTTTTGATCGATCTCAAGACTTGGACGTCATCGTTTGTGCACTCGATGATTGTGCTTGTTTGTGCTTGTTTTGGGCGCTCGAAGTTCTCGGCAGAATGCCTTGTCTTTGAGCCTCTAAACCCATTTTGTTTTGTGCTTGTTTTTGGGCCAAACCTTGTTGCCTCTTACTTGGAAGGGGGAGGGGCCTTGTCGGCCGTTTTTGGGCCTTGTTGGCCACTTTTTGTTCTTGTCGACCACTTGAAGTGGCCGACGGCCATTTGTCCCCTTTTTCAGATATTTGTTTGCCAGCTGTACCAGCTGTTGTTCACTGAAGTGCATCTCCATACACGTGTATGGAGGGATGAATACAAGCCTTACTCTTGATTTTCTATATATAGGGGATGCTTTCCCCCATTTGGAGAGGTTAGACATTTTGGATCAAAATTTCCTCTCTCTCTCTCTCTCTAGAATTCTCTCTCTCTCTCTCCCCCTCTCTCTCTCTCTCTCTCTCTCTTTCTCTTCTTATTTTGTGCCTTATAGTTAGATTTCTCTACACTTTTGCACAAGGACCCTTAACCAAACATTCTCACCTCGGAGCTGAGGTTCTTTGAGGTTTAGTTTGAGCTCTTGAGGGAGGTTTGAGCTGGAATTTGTGCCCGTTTTGTGTTGTGCTTCAAGAGGTATAAGACTTACCTTGTAGGCTTTGTTTTGATTACTTGCTTTGCCACCTTTTTGTATTGTTTTGGGCCTGGTTTTCAACTACAAAAAAAAAAACCTCTAATTTTTGAGCCTTAACATGATGGTTTGAGGTCATTTTGTGTAAAGGGGTAGTCTACCCTTCTTGTTGCCTAATTGTGAAGTTTTTTGCGCCATCTTTCAAGGCTTTCAAATCAAACTTTTTGGGCCTTTAAACCACTGAAATTCAGAGTTATTTTAGTGGTGGAAAACATGTTTTGAAGTCCAAAAATGGAGGGGTTGGCCTCCCCTCCTTGTGTCTTACTTGCATGCCTAGTTAGCATCACATGGTAGCATGTTTTTGTAGCCTAACTTAGCTTATTTCCAGCATATGTTTGCCTCTGATTTGGAATGATTTAGCTCTGCTTTGGGCTTCTTTGGTCATATGAGTCTTGTTTTGCATAGTTGTAGTGCAAATGGCTTCACTAGTTTGGTGTTTTAGGCCTTTAAAGATGCTTTGCTTGAGTTGGTTGCATGTTGTAGTGTCTTTTTACATGTAATTTCAGCATATATAGCTCTGTCACATGCTCATTTGTTTCACTCTTTCTTTGCTTTTTAGAGTTGCACTTGAGTCTTGTTTGCAAGCTAACATGTGAGCATGTTTTTCTAGCATTTTGTACCTTAATCTCAGCATGATTCTGCCACTATTTTGACTGGTCTTAGCTCTGTTTTGAGCTGGTTTGGCCCTTTGAGGCTTGTATTGTGTGGTTGTAGTGCAATCTTTTCCACTAGCTTAATGTTTTAGGCTTTTAAACATGAATTGCATGAGTTGCTTGCATGTTTTAGTGTCTTTTTGTACTCTATTTCAACACTAAAATCTCTGCAATCTCCCTCTATTCTTCACTCTTTCATTTACTTTGAAAGTGACTTTGAACCCTTCGTTGGCTTGAGTGTGAAATTGAGACACTTGTGCTTAATGGTTTTAATCCTCTTTTGAGGGTTTCTGCTAACCAATGGCATGAGGACACTTTCATGCTCAAGGCACTTGTGGTTTAAGCCTACTTTCGATTAGAGGACACTCACTTTTGGACTAATCAATTAAAGAATGGATTGGTAATCTAAAATGAGTAAATAAAATTAGACAAGTAAAAGAGGCAAGATAAAGCATCTTTGTGTTACATTGCATGTGTTCGGATCGGACGTTAATCCAAACACGAGAAAAATGGGATGTTTCATACTCAAAGTGATGAAACATGCCGCTTTTCTTAGTCACCGTCACCCTTGCATGATACGGTGGTGGTTGTTTTGGTCTTGTTTGTGCATTCATTAAGCTTGTACAAGGTTGGTTCTCTAGCCATCATGCATTGAAAATGCTTGGTTGATTGTTCGAAGGCCAAGAGTTACTCTCCTTTGAGTTTGTGTGATGATAAGGAGGGCAACAGTACACACATTCCTTGAAAATACATTGCTTTGCCTCTGTTTACTCTCTGTTGCAGCAAAAGGAGAAGTCCAGGGATGGGGTGGCCGACCGGCAAGTGTTAGTGGCCTCGGCCACTTGAAGTGGCCGACCGGCCAGTTGTAGTAGCTGACAGCCACTTTTTGTAGCCGACTGGCCACCAGTGAAATTTTGCACAAGTGTGCTCCTAAGTTGGAGCAGAGGCATTCTGGGAGTTCATACAATTTTCAATGATCAAAACGAGTGCAAATAGAGGCATCCGATGGCAAGCAATGGCATTTTCGGGTGGATCAATTGAGCATGCATGCGTCCCTCACCCCCAAGGCTATTTAGTCGCTTTTGTTAACTTAGAATAAGTTGGCTATTTCATTCATACAAGAGTTGTAATAATTATCTTATAATAGTTAATTAGTTTTGGTTTGTAATAATTAGTCTAATTAGTTTAATTAGTTAGCATTAATTAGCATAGCTAGTTAATTTATTCATTTGGACCCACCTTCAAGAGGGCGTAATGTTGTAATAAGTGTGCGTGCGTGTGTGTATGTCTTCCAACCCCGCGTTTTTCTCCTTTTTATTTAACCACTTTCGATGGTTAGTTTAGAGTCATGTTTCGATTAGCATACCTTATGCTCACATAATTGCATCCATTCATTTGTCTTGCATGCACTGAGGCTCAGCGCATCATTCAAATTACATTTTCAATACTTATTTGAATACGTGTTTCATAGCATGTTATCAAATTGAATCAAATCATATGCCATATTAGTAGCCGAGCCTATTAATCGCATTATTGCATGTGTTGCATTAGACACTTAGCATAGTTAGGATCATACATCTTTCTAACTAGTTTTTGTTTTGGCTTGGAGTACTCGGTGAGTTTTATGCTTTAGCATGCTTGCATGAGTGCGATTGCCATGTTGCCATGATAGCATGTTTGCCATGAGGCTATTTGCTTAAATGATTAACTGCATGAATGCCTGTGGATGAAGGCTTTGTTGTTTGAATTGGAACAGCTCAACGAATGTATGTTTTAAGCCCACTTGAGGTGGCAAATCTACAAACTTTAAAGCCCACTTGAGAGTGGCAAATTCAAACTATTTTTGAAAACAAACATAAGTTGAGTTGTTCCAATTCTCGCGATTTTAGTCTATACTTGATTGTGTGTGCATCACATAGTAATGTTAGCTAATAACCGGAATAAGAACGCATAATGTTTATAAAATGACATATCATGGTTAGTTGAGGCCGATCCTTTGATCGGGCGAGCGGGGGTGCTCATTTCATGACCTTCCCCCCTCGTACCCAAGTTCCCGAGCCAAGGCAACTTTGGTGAGGACGGACACGTGGCCTTTAGCACGAGTCAGGGTTTCCTAAATTTCGCTCAAAATAAAATATTTAGGTGGCAACTCTGTAATCTGGCAAAGCAGTCCAATTTTGGCATTATTTGATTTAAAATCAATTTTCCAAAAAGATTTTCCGGATTGGACTCTTTGGTACTTATCAGTTTCACATTGCACTTTGTGAGATTAGATTCAGAATCGTGACAGGCTTTTGAACTGTAGGACCAATTCGAGCTCTCCGAAAAGGGGGCACGAAAAAGTCGAGCTACAACAACCACTGGAAATTTTGAATCGCCTGACTTCCATTTAAAGGCTATCTCCTAACCATTTTAATCAAAATCAACTCACATATTTGGCCAACATCATTACTGAATGGCCAACTCTCTTGGAAGCTACTCAAAGCTATAGAGAAAGGACTCAAGCTAAGAAAGAATTCCTAACCACTGCTTAATGCATCTCTTACTCCTTAATGATCAGCTGTCAGAACTCCTCCAATCTTACCAATTAAGACAAGGCATTAGCTCTTGAAGAAACTTGACTTGAAGCAAAATTAGCTCTTGTGAAGCAAAAAAGACTTGAACTTCATCAACGAAGAGAAAAACTGAATGATGAAGCTAGAAGCCTACTAGCCAAGATTGGAAATGGCTCATCATCCATACAAGCTAACAAGAAAGAACTTGATCAAGCTCAAGCTATGTTGGCAACACTTAATCAAAATGGGGCACACTAAGACTTATTTTCTCCAAACACTAGCTTCTGTTTTTTTTTTTTTTTTTTTTTTTTTTTTTTTTTTTTTTTTTCATTCATTGTAAATGTCTTGAACAAATTCTGCTATTGTGAACATTTTGAAATTTCAATGAATATCAATACTTGTCTTGTCATTTTCCTTTAAGACTTTCTCATATGGTTGGATAATACTTATTTAAATACTTTCGATTTATGTTTCTTCTATGTGGTTGTGCTTTTAAAACTGATATGCACCTCCTTTGAGGACCTCATGGACTCTAAAAGGTCCTTCCCAATTTGGTGACCGCTTGCCAAACTCAGGATCCTTTGTCCCCAATGGCAAGATAGTTTTCCAAACTAAGTCACCTTCACCAAAACCTTTCACTTTAACTTTCTTATTGAAAATTCTTTCAATTTTCTTCTTTAGTGCTATCAAACAATTAAAAGCATCAATTCTCTTTTCTTATACATCTTGGAACTCTATAAGCATGTCCTCGTTATATTTGTCGACAGGGATGTCATAGTGCCTAGACACTCTACTAGACCTTATTGTTACCACTAAGGACAATACTGCAGCATGACCATAAACCAACTTACAATGGAAAGCTCGAGTATTATCTCTTTTAGAATTCCTATATGCCCATAACACCCTAGATAACAATTCATGCCAATGTAACACCCCCAAATTAATTAAATTAAAACATTGCTCATAATTTGCTTAAACAGAAATCATACATCATCAATTAACAACACTAACCCAACATCCTCTTTCTCATTGAACAATAATTTAAAAATACAAGTTTTGTGTTCAACTATTAGATACATCATCATTAGCATAGTTCAAGAAACAAGAGGAAATGATGCAAAAAATGCCTTAGTGGCTTACAAATATCAAGGCAAGGCCTTGTTACAACAAAATGGACAAGCTGTCCCAAAACATATATGCTTGGAGCTTCTACATAACACATACATGACTCATCATGCTCCAAAAAAACAAAAGAAAATCCACCTCTTGCTCATAAGGGTGGCTGTACATCACCAGGTCCTGGAAATTTAGATAGGAATGAGCTAGATATCCAGTAGAAATACTTTTAACAGAGTATCTAATTATTCAAAAATCCATATGACATTATCATAACCAAACATATTTAATTCAATCCATGAAATTAATTTAAGAAAATATGTTAAAATTCATTACTTCCATAATTTCACAATTCAAGATCGGAGGTAAATATGTATGAAGTCCTTAAGGAGAGTCCCAATACAAATATATAGGTTTATATCCAATATCCCCATTTTTGTTGGCTATTAATACGGAAGGGAATGGGCATCCAAAATCATCCATTTTCCTACTTTTACCGATGAAAATATGACAAGACTAGTGGACATCCAAAAGTATTTTCCCACATTCGTCTGGCGATAAGCCCAAGACAAGGTAATTGGGCACCAAAACTTTCCGCCGCTCGGGTACCAACAACACATAACCCTTTCCCAAAACCGACTCCCTACCTAGACTCGCATGCTATTTACCACCCCTTAAACAACCTTTCCAAGATTTCTAACTATTCATACATTCATTAGGTAAAGGATATTGAATACCACTCAAGTAATTTAATAGAGTAATGAGGAACAATATTCACAATTCAAGAAAAATGTCAAGACGTTCCAATTTCACAATTCTCAATCAATATAAATATTCAAAACATCATAATCCATCCGTCAATTTTAAAGAATTGAAAATCAATTTCATCTTTCACAAATTTTACAACTAGTGTTTTCATAAATTTGCGCCTTTTACCCCTAAATCATGTTAAACACTAATTCTCAAGTTGAATAGCCATAATCCAAAAGCTTTATTCAAAATCTTAAGAAACGTTTTGGTAACATTTCAATTTGAACACACAAAATCCAATTTATGAACACCCTCATGAAATATTGCATCAATGTCACAATAACACCACATAATCATTCTCAAGATAGAGAGATACAAAGTTAAAAGTAATCCTACGTCAAGGATAAGAACAAAGAAGCTAGCCTCAAGACGAATTGTTTGAGAAACAAGAATCCAATTGGTGGAAATGCTCTATCTTCACCCAAACGTCAATTTTTGTAAGGAATGAAGTTGTAAATCTTAGTAGAATAAGAGATTTGTAGAGTGAGAAAACTACGGTTTTCAGAGCTATAGTGAGAGAAGTGAAGACAAAAAATAAAAGTGCAAAGAAAGATCTAGAAAACAACTTTTTAAGTTACTGAAATCGTGCAGACCGCTCGAGCGGTCTTTCCACCACTCGAGCAGTGAACTTAAACTCTCAGTATTTTTGTCTGTAAAATGAGATACTGGGGACCCCCTTATCTTCGCTCAAGTGACCACTTGACTGCTCAAGCGGTCCCTAACCAGCAAGGTAATTACTAGAAGCCTATCAGCTCTGCTTGAGCAGTCTTTTTACTGCTCGAGTGGTCACCTGGGATGAATTGTCACAATCTCTCACCCTTAAGGAATTTCCCCCCTGAAATAACGTCAATTCACAATGCAACACACTACAAGAAAATGGGGCCTATAACACGAAAGAATTTGTGACGGCACCATTTACCGTCGCAAAAAGTGAGTTTTTGCCGTCGCCAATAAATCGAGTTTCAGCGACAACACCACTTCCTATCACAAAAAAGCATTTTTTGCAACGACAACAACTGTAGTTGCAAATAATGCATGTTTTTTTGTGACGGCAACCCCTGCTGTCACAAATAAAGCCATTTTTTGCGACGACATAAAACTTGACATCGCCAATAAATCGTTTTATTGTTTAAATTTTCATTTGTGACGGTGAAACTTGACATCGCAAAAAAAAAAAAAACCCAAAATCTTGCGCTCAGCTTTTTTTTTTCCCCCTTCGTGCTTATTTTTCCCCTTCGTGCTTATTTTTCCCCCCTTAAACCAAAAATTCCCAATCTAAAAAATCCCTAATCTTTTGAACCAAAAACCCTATAAAAAATTCCCATCTCTTCTAACGACTTTCTCTCTCTCTCTCGACTATGAGTGGTGGTAGACGACATCGAGCATCAAATCGACGGCATCGAGTGACGACAACGAGTAGCGTGAGACAACATCAAGCAGCATGCGACGACGGCGAGGGAGCGACGATGGTGCGGTGTATCTCCCTTTAACTCTCTCTGTCAGTCTCAATCTTAGAACTAGGTTAGCTCTTCTTTTTCTTCATCTTTACACCACCTGTCACGAGGCTCTTGGCCAAGCGGGAAATCATCAAGAACAGTGTATGATCTCTCCCCTTTTCATAATTTTTTTTATTATTTTCATAGTGTTTTCTTTACTTGAACTGGGAAATTTTTTTATTTTGTTTTAATTGATTTGATTTAGATCATTGACATTCTACATCCAGAAAGACCAAATGTTTCCAAGGTTTGTTCTTTCTCCTTTTTTTGATTTCTCTTCAACATCTCATGGTTTATAGAACATGTTTCGCTATCTATTTTGTTTGCTACAGTGTATCTCTTTTTAACTCTCTCAGTCAGTCTCAATCTTAGAACCAGGTTAGCTCTTCTTTTTCTTTATCTTTACGCCACCTGTCACGAGGCTCTTGGCCAAGTGAGAAATCATCAAGAACAGTGTATGATCTCTCCCCTTTTCATAATTTTTTTTATTATTTTCATAGTGTTTTCTTTACTTGAACTGGGAAATTTTTTTATTTTGTTTTAATTGATTTGATTTAGATCATTGACATTCTACATCCAGAAAGACCAAATGTTTCCAAGGTTTGTTCTTTCTCCTTTTTTTGATTTCTCTTCAACATCTCATGGTTTATAGAACATGTTTCGCTATCTATTTTGTTTGCTATAATGTTTTTATTGCTGTATATGTGTAGTTTATTCACAAATTAGTGATCTAGTTTAACCTTTTGTATTGTTGATTAATTATTCTTGTAAAACAAAATCATGGGTTTGTTTTATTGGGAGGTCATTTGTTTACCTAAGTTATGAAAGTGTAATGTGTTAATCAACTATTGTTATTTTGGTGTTGCTTATTTATTTAATTTAATGTGTTCTTGTATAGCCATTACCTATTAATGCACAATTTCAAGTTGTATTCTATTTCTGGTAGATTTACTTTATTTGGTTCTACATATTATTTTTTGATTAGCCGTTCTAAATTTTTTCTTTTTGGGTTTTCTTTTTTCTTTTTTTTAATTGAAGGCGAAGTTGAAGGAAAAATTGTCTAGGATAGATGAGGTGAAAGACCCAACTACCATCTTTGTTTTTAAGTTCCGGACCCATTTTGGAGGAGGCAAATTTATTGGTTTTTGTTTGATTTATGATTCTGTTGAGAATGCAAAGAAATACGAGACAAAATATAGGCTCATCAGGGTAATTTCTTATTTTTTCTTCTTTTTGTTTTCACTTGTGTACTACTACTTCCTATCTATTTAAATGGGCATCTGCATCACCTAATTTGCACTGAAATGAATATACTCTCTTCTATTATTTGCAATTTTTGTTGTTTCGATGTGTATGGGTTTCATTTTAGATTCATTTATTCAGGATCTTTTTTAGCAGCAATCATGTTGTTGAATTTTTTTCTACTTCTCTTATTTGACGCAATGCAGTAATTCTCAATAAAACGTTGTTTATGTTTGAATTCAATGAAGAATTCAATCACAACATGAGAATAAGATGATAAGCTTTATTCGCATAGAGGATTAAAGATGGCACATTTTTGATCCACCTGAATGCTAAAATGTTTAAATGTATCTTGAGTGCAAAATTATGATGGTTAGAAACCAACTTCAATTGTTTTGTTTACTATTTGATCCACCTGCATTGCTAAAATGGATCAAATAGTCATATTCGTCTTTTATGGCTTTATAAACTTTTTTAAGAGAACTCAATACATTATGTCCATTCTTTTCTAAATTATTTCTGAAGATATTGAGATCTTGACCTCTTGTGCTTGGAAATTCTTGTATATTGGTTAGATGACTTTTATTAGTCAGGAAATTAAAGACCTATGTTTGAGTGTTCAAATGGTCCTGATCAGTTTGGTACACATTTGCATTTAAGGAATAAATGGGATATAGAAAGTATTTATGCAAAATACTCAATCCTGTATGCATGCTTGGGTTAAGCTCTGAGTATGAACTATAAAGAATGGATTTTATGTAAATCACTCAATTGAATATGTTTGTTTTTGTGAGTACATGGTAGTAGCAAGTCATATTGAGGTTTCCTATGTATTCTTTTGCTATCAAGATAAGAGTAACAAAGTGAGCGTACGGAATTTATCTCTAAAAGTTTCTCATTTTCTTTGAAGTGTATTTATATCTTGTCTATTTCTCCTTCGCAGAACGGCCTGGACACAAAGGTGGAGAAGTCAAGGAAGCAATTGAAGGAAAGGAAAAACAAGACCAAGAAGATACATGGTGTAAAGAAGGTAAGGAAATATACGCCCCAAAATCACCAAATGGCATCGGATTAGCACGAAACTAGGAACACACAACCACCTAGGCACGAGAGACTTGAGGGAGAAGACGAGACTCGAATCGGGTTCTCGGATTGGGAGTTAGAGCTGGATTTCTGTGACAGCAAACTAGTTCCGTAAGAAACTTAGAATTCGAGGTGTTGACCCCCCAAAATCACCAAATGGTGTCATATTAGCACGAAACTTGGCACACACGACCGCCTTGGCACAACAGACTTGTGGAAGAAGACGGGACTCGAATCGGGTTCCCGGTTTGGGAGTTAGAGCCGAATTTTGGTCTAGGCAAACTAGTTCCTTAAGAAACATAGAATTCGAGGTGTTGACACCCCAAAATCACCAAATGGCATCAGATTAGTATGAAACTTGGCACACACGACCGCCTAGGAATGAGAGACCTGTGGGAGAAAATAGGACTCGAATTGGGTTCCCGATTTGCGAGTTAGAGTCGGATTTCGGTCTAGGCAAACTAGTTCCTCAAGAAACTTAGAATTCGAGGTGTTGACGCCCCAAAGTGACCAAACGACGTCGAATTAGCACGAAACTTGGCACACACGACTGCCTAGGCACGAGAGACTTGTGGGAGAAGACTAGATTCGTATCGATTTCCCGATTTGGGAGTTAGAGTTGGATTTCGGTGACAACAAACTAGTTCCTTAAGAAACTTAGAATTCGATGTGCTGACGCACGCCCTAAAATCACCAAAAGGCATCGGATTAGCACAAAACTTGGCACACCCAACTACCTGGGCATGAGAGACTTGTGGGAGAAGGCGAGACTCGAATCGGGTTCCAAGTTTGGGAGCTAGTGTCGGATTTAGGTCTATGCAAACTAGTTCCTTAAGAAACTTAGAATTCGAGGTGTTGATGCCCTAAAATCACCAAACGACATCGAATTAGCAGGAAACTTGGCATATACGACCGCCTAGGCACGATAGACTTATGGGAGAAGATAAGACTAGAATTGGGTTCTCGGTTTGCAAGTTAGAGCTGGATTTCGGTCTAGGCAAACTAATTCCTTAAGAAACTTAGAATTCGAGGTGTTGACGTCCCAAAATCCGCAAACGACGTCGGATTAGCACGAAACTTGGCACACACAACCGTCTTGGTACGAGAGACTTGTGGGAGAAGACGAGACTATTAGAGTCGAATTTCGGTCTAGGTAAACTAGTTTCTTAAGAAACTTAGAATTCGAGGTGTTGACGTCCCAAAATCATCAAAAGGCATCGGATTAGCGTGAAACTTGGCACACACAACTGCCTAGGCACGAGAGAGTTGAGGGAGAAGATGGGACTCGAATCGGGTTCTCAGTTTTGGAGTTAGAGCTGAATTTCGATCTAGGCTTAGTTCCTTAAGAAACTTAGAATTTAAGGTGTTGATGGTCCAAAATCACCAAATGGTGTCGGATTAGCATGAAACTTGGCACACACATGAAACTTGGCACACATGACCACCTTGGCACGAGAGACTTGTGGGAGTAGATGAGTCTTGAATCAGGTTCCCGGTTGGGAGTTAGAGCCAAATTTTGGTCTAGGAAAAATTATTTACTTAATTATCTTTGCAATTGTACAGTAGTTAAATTTTTATGTTTTTTTTTTTGTAATTAACATATTGACACATAATTATATTGTCATTAATTATTTTTGTTTTTTGTTTTCAGATATTTCTCGAGTAGGAGTATTGGGACACCCCAAAAAATGGGAACATCATAGAATATAATAACAAATAAATACGAGATTTTTCTACGATTACAAAATAGGAAACCTCACTAATGAGTCTTTTGATCAATAACCAAGTAAGATCCCAGAAAAGATCGTAGGACTCAATCTCCTTGGATAGCAAAGTTATCTTTTTGACAGATCTTATCAAGGTAACATAAGGTCTACATGAGTTGACGGAAAATAAGGAATGGGTAATATAAAATATATGTATAGATATATAATAATTACAAAATCAAGTCTTAAATACAACATGAGATCTATCACTTACAATTTCACAACACGTTTACAAACTAATTTCTAATTCTCCTAGGGCAGCCATACGTCCTCAAATGCTTTGGCTTTGCCTTCAACTGGTCTAATAGTGTTCAATACCTGGCATGAAACGCCATGAGCTTTGAATGCCCAGTAAACGCGCACACATCCCATCCTTTTTTCCCAATCCAATACCATCACATTTATAACAAGCAAGTAATGAAGCATGATATTCAAGTCAATAATAAGGATTACACGGTTAGATGTTAGTAGTCTAGAAATCCCCCAAAGAGAATTCATCCTCCCAACCGCAGGAATTGGACACCAGACTATTTGGAACTCCCTCTTTTACTGCGTTGTTGCAAAACTTACCTCAGATGCCTACCAACGGTTATATACCGTGTAGTGCCAACCACAGGGCCTCAAAAGTGACGGCGAAAAGACAAGGTTTTATTACCCTAAATCCAAATGTCCCATCTTGACCCAACATTATCTCACCAAATCAAATCATCGTAAGAGTCCGAATATGTCAATCCCATTCTAGGATTTATGTAATAATTGCTTGCGCAAGACTTAACTTTCAATCAGGGAGCACATCTCATCAATCCATACTTAACACATTATCATCTCTTCATTATTCATAGAAAACCCAACACCAACCCAATTAAGTTTCCCGTTGAGTTAAATGTTTTAAATTAAAGTTAGAACACTTAAGAAGGTAGTAATATCCACATAAGCATGAGCACCATCAAATGAAGAAAATAAAGAACATAACCATAATACATGCAATATCATAGCAAGACATGATCATATATTAATAAGCACATTTATGAAGACAAGAACATAAAACACCAATGCAAAACAGAATTCCCAGATTCAGTATCACTTAAAGAATAAAATAAAAAAGACCATTTAATATTTTTTTTCCCCAAACCTGAGCTCCCTATGGTTTGTAGAGAATTTTATCTAGTTTTCAAAACATCTTTTAGAAGTTTTATAGCCTTCCTAGATTTTTAGTTATTTAGGAAATGCCCCAGCACTGTCAAAGTCGTCGACTGTTACGAAAATCAGGTTTTCTCACAAACCTCTGACTCTTTTTCAATGAAACCACTTTTACTTGAACGCTAAATCCTTAAGGAAGATTTTTATGTAAAACCTAGGTCCATAATATTTTTCTACATTTTTATAGAAGCTTCGAAAGTTGGCTGTAAAACAAATTTTTCATGCATAATACTCAAAATAAGAAGATTTGTGAGAAATGAGGCCAACTAAGGGAAAGTTTCTACTTATTTTGTGATGAAAACATCCTAAATAGTATATATTTAACTCAAAATTTTATATTGAAGGTGTGCCTTTGGAAATTTTGAGAGATTGGTATGGAAAAAGATAGTTTTGTACCGATTAAGGGAAAATACAAGAAGGGTAGAACAAGGCTCAACTCATTTCATTTTTTTAACACAAAAGCACCATTACAACACATATGAAAATACCATTTTAAACTTCCAACAACATGTGATATGGCTTACTTGAGGCTTGATTGAATTGCTAGCAAACTTTCTTTCTTTTCTATCCTCCACCAAGGTCACCCTTTTCTCTTCTCTCATTCTCAGCCGAATGAAGTGTTTATGTATGTGTTCATGTATGTGTTCTTGTATGTAAAATGCTAAGCGAGGGGTTGTTTTTATAGGAAAATTGGTGCAAAAGGTCCAAAATGCCCATTAGTTGGAATGGAATGCAATTGAGATGTATTTAGTTGGAATGTAATGGAATGAGAGATCATTAGGGAGCCTAATCATGTATTAAGGCATGATTTGGTTAGGGTTAGGCTTAAGTAGAACCAAGATAGTTACAAGTACAAGACAACTTTCCTTGGTTTGGGGGTACCAATGATACTTTTTCCATGATTTAAGGAATTTGTCTCTATAGTACCTATGATTGTTGCCTAGAGAGGGTGATGGTTGGCCATGTGCCAGATTTGGGGAGATTTTTGTTGATTATATATGTGAAAAATGCTTGGAACCTCCTTTTTTCGAGATCCCCACAACCCCTTTTAGATCTCAACCATTGATGTATCTGTGGGACCCACTGATGTATGTGTGGGGCCTACACTATCAATGGTTGAGATCCAAAGGGGGTTGCGGGGGTCTCTAAAAAAAAGGGGGTCTCAATCATTGTTGTTATATATATATATATATGAAGATATTTGTGTACAAAATTATTTATTTAAGAAAGGTACAAGTATATATATATATGTGTGTGTAATGGTTACTAGTTTGGGTCAAAATGTGATTCAAGAAAAATGTGAGGGCTTTGGGTTTAATTTATGAGTTGGAACATTTATTTTAGTGTATAATTTAATTAAATTGGGGTTAGAGAGTTTAATTCAGTTTGGTTTTCTTGTTTCGAATAAAAACGCGATCAACTGACGAGCGTGATGAAGACCGGAAAAATCTAGGGTTTTCAAGTGGTAATTTCATATTTAGGGAGTCAATTAATCAGTATTAGGGTATTAAAAATGATTTCTACATTACAGAAATCAATTAGGGTTTGTGGGTTTTGTTGGTGTATGTATTTTGATCATAGGGTTGCAATTAATTAAGAAACTGAGGGACTTCAAGGAAATAATTTAAAAGTAAGGGGCTTTTAAAAAAGTAAAATTTTTAGGGGCCTTACAAGTTTGCTTCATGTGGAATGCATGCCTGTGAAGAATGTGACTAACTTTTGTTTTTGTTCCCACAGAGAATGATAAGGAAAACTTTTGCTTTTGGTTTATGTTATTTTGAATTGTGAACAACATTATGTATTTATACATTATATATGTATTATGCAACATTATGTGGTAGGGGAATCTTGCTGATGTGTAGTTATGAATACAAGAATACTGTTATTATGAAGAAATTGTTATTTCTATGCAGGAATTTTTATATTATTGTGCAATTATTGATTTCTTTTTCATTTTTTTTTTCATTTAATACAGGTAAATTTGAATATTTTAAATAATTTTATTGTTGGTTTTTTTATTTTTTTTTATTTTTTTCGCAGCGACACCACATCGTCACAAAAAAGCCAAAGCTAAAATATATATATTTTTTGGCGACATAGGAAATGTCGTTGCAAAAGAATTTTAGCGATAGAGGTTATGCCATCGCAAAAAAAAAATAAAAAATAAAAAATAAAAAAATAAAAAATCGCGACAACACTTTTTTTGCCATCTCAAATAAAAATTTTAGCGACGGTACAACATTGTCGTCGCAAAAGGTCTCATTTTTTTTCACATATTACAGGCAATAGTAAAACGTCGTCGCAAAAGACGACATTTGTCGTCACTAAAACATTTTAGCAACACCCTCTGTTATGACCCCCCTTTGCCGTCGCTAAAAGTTTTTTGAGACAACATTAGGAGTATTAGCGACGACATTTTGTTGTCGTGAAAAATGAAAATTTTGTAGTGACATTAACAATATGATAACGACACAGTAACCACAAGTCACAAACAATCTCAAATTGCTAGTGTGTAACATTTAATAACGAATATATGTATGGGAGATGTAGTAGAAAAGTAAATTACATTCATTTTACCGTACTTTAAGGGAGAAAGCAAATCGAAAGGAAAGATTACAGATCATGAAATAAATCAAGGTATTTCTTGCGGACGTTGGCCATACTCTCCCAAGTTGCATCCTCAACCCCATGATGACATAAAAGCACTTTGATTAACGGAATGGTCTTACCCCTCAAGGCATGTTCTAGGTTGTCTAGAACTTTAACTGGTCTCTCTTCATAAGATGAATCCTTATCAACCTCAATATCTATCTAATCTACCACATGGGAAGGGTCGGGCTCATATTTATGAAGCATTGACATGTAGAAGAGATCATGTACTCCAAGAGTGGTGGTGGTAGGGCAAGATGATACACAACCTCTCCTACCTGTTCTATGATGTCAAAAGGACCGATAAACCGTGGAGATAATTTCCCGCTCTGACCAAACCTCATCAATCCCCTTCTAGGTAAGATTTTCAGAAATATATGATCTTCTACCTCAAAGGACAACGATCTCCGCCTCTGATCAGTATAACTTTTCTGATGTCTTTAAGCTGTAACTAATCCCTTCCGAATGAGGGCCACTTTCCCGATGGTCTCACAAACCAACTCAGACCCAAGTGTAAGTGAATCCCTTAGCTTGGTCCAACAAACTGATGACCTACGAGGATGCTCGTACAGAGCTTCGAAAGGTGCTATCTCAATGCTAGCTTGATAACTATTATTATAAGCGAACTCGGCTAAAAGTAAATGTTTCTCCCAAGACCCTTTGAAGTCTAACGCATAAGCCCTTAACATGTCTTCCAAAATTTGAATGGTGCGCTCGGATTGTCCATTAGTTTGAGGGTGGTAGGTAGTGCTAAAGTTTAGTTGAGTACCCAAGGCACTCTGAAGACACAGCCACAATTTGGCGGTGAGGCGAGGATCTCTATCAGAAACTATACTCACCGGAACTCCATGGAGTCTAATAATTTCAAGAATATAAAGTTTGGCAAAGTATTCAACAAAATCCGCCACACTCATGGCAAGAAAGTGGGCTGACTTGGTGAGTCGATCCACAATTACCCATATCTCATCATTACCCTTTTGAGTTCTAGGAAAGCCTGTAACGAAGTCCATGTTGACATGGTCCCATTTCCACTCGACAATTAGTAAAGGTT